GTATTTTCACTGTTTAAGTGGTATGTAGTGTAGCATGTACCGTACGTAGTATTTTATGTTGTTATTACTTCAGTTATTAGTCACCAAACAATGTAAAGACACGTGCAGTATTTTCACTGTTTAAGTCGTATGTAGTGTAGCATGTACCGTACGTACTATTTTATGTTGTTATTACTTTAGTTATTAGTCAGCAAACAATGTAAAGACACGTGTAGTATCTTCACGGTTTAAGTTGTGTGTGTGTGTAGTGTATCATATACCTCTATACGATATGTGAACACTGAAATCAAGCCGTGGTTACCTTTTTTGTGTGATTGTGGTGCCGATGGCCGGACTTTGGCTCAACAAGCATTTGGATTTGGGTGATTTTTGGCCGGTTTCGCCACCGCCGGATAAAGTTGGTAAGCGATCGGGAACAATCGACGATTGACAGCAGCAGCAATAATAACAACAACAACGTTGACAACAACGCACAACCCTCACCAAAGGATACGTGACGATTTCAAGCGGCGTAAGGGAGGGATGGATGTCTGTGGTCAGCGGAATGTTTTGGGGAGGTTGGGAGGAAATTAAAGGTGTTGGTGACAGCCAGAGGTGTGGACTCGAGTCATGTGACTTGGACTCGAGTCAGACTCGAGTCATGAATTTGATGACTTCAGACTCGACTTGGACTTGCATAACAATGACTTTGTCCCACCTCTGAGGTGTGGACTCGAGTCATGTGACTTGGACTCGAGTCAGACTCGAGTCATGAATTTGATGACTTCAGACTCGACTTGGACTTGCATAACAATGACTTTGTCCCACCTCTGGTGACAGCTGTCTCTCTAAACCAGTGGTGCGCGAGATGCTCTTTCTGAGAGCCAAAGAGGGTTCTAGATTTGAAGCTTTCGTGACTGCAAGGATTCATACTCTTAATTTTTTCGGTAAAGCCACGTAGGTTAAAAAGTGATACAGCAAATCTGGCTGTGACGGTCCCACCTGATGACGGAGACTTGTGTTGCCTCCGAAACGTCGTGATTTTTATCATTTTATTTTTTATTAATTTTAATTTCATTTTTAATTTTTAATTTCATTAATTTCAAAAATGAAATTTTTATTTCATTTTTTACCTACGTGACTTTACCGAAAAAACTAAGAGTATGAAGCCAAAGAGGACACGGGCTGCAGTCAAAGTTTATGGACCACTGGTCTAGACAAAAAAGGGTGGGGTAGCCTTTGAAAAAGGCGATGATGATGATGATCGAGACATCTTTTGTTGCTTTTCTTTTCTTTCGTCTTGGAACCAAACTAGTTTAGAGAACGAGCACGTATCACGCATCACACGTGCACAGAGCCACTGCTTGTGAACGTGCACAGACAGCGAGACAGCCACACACGCGCATTCTGACTACAAATACACAAAGCCGGCGACGGGATGAACAAGTTATGGCATTAGCCACACGCGGTTATTGTTGCGAACATGCAAACAAACACGTGGTTCTGATCATATTTGATTGTCTTATAATAATGATCTGTTTCAATGAGTTTCAAAGACAATGCATACTATTTCGATTTAAAGCTTTCGTGACTGCAGGGATTCATCTTCTTGGTTATTTCGGTAAAGTCACGTAGAATGGAAATAATAAAATAATAAAAATAAAACATAATTTAAAAAATCGATTTAAAGCTTTCGTGACTGCAGGGATTTATCTTCTTGATTCTTTCGGTAAAGTCACGTAGAATTGAAATAATAAAATAATAAAAATAAAACATAATACATATTTTTTTTCGATTTAAAGCTTTCGTGACTGCAGGGATTTATCTTCTTGGTTCTTTCGGTAAAGTCACGTAGAATGGAAATAATAAAATAATAAAAACATAATAAAATAATTCTCACGACGTTACGGCCACAACGCAAGCAGCCGTCCTCAGGTGGAGAACAGGTCTGTCGAGGAGAGGAGACAGACCGGTTCTCCACCTAAGGACGGCTGCTTGCGTTGTGGCCGAAACGTCGTGAGAATTATATTATTATGTTTTTATTATTTTATTATTTCCATTCTACGTGACTTTACCGACAGAACCAAAAAAATGCGTAATATATTACCAGGATTTGTTTGCATGTTCACCATAAGCACCGTTTGTGTGTGGTTACTGCAAGATCTTAATCCCCTTGCAAAGATATCATCTATTTGATGTTTGAACACATTACGCATCTACTGTTATGGTACCAGAAAGGGTGACGCCGCTGGTTATTTTTCATTCTTTGATACTGGCCAAGAAGGCTATCCCATGATACAGCTGCTGCTCACACCGAGCTATAAACGCTCTGATACGTGTGGCATTGGCCCTTGTCCTGGTCTCCTGTTAGCGTTCTCTGGTCTGAGACTGGTGAGACTGGGCCCTAGAGAAAGCCGTCTCTGGTGTGGGCCAATCGGTTTCAGAAACAATGCATCATCGTAAATCATCAGAGCCACGTGTCTGTTTGCATGTTCACCACAACGTACCGTTTGTGTGGTTGATGCAGTCACTTGATTCATTACAAAAGGTTTATTCTATCTGGCGTTTGAACATCTTGACACAACTCCTGTTACTGGCAAAAACACAGGTCCCATGACACTGGTAGGAACCTCCTGGTTACACCAGCCCACAGGGGATTATTGTGTCCGTCCGTCCATCGTGCAGGTAGGGGCTGGGTGGGGAGGGAGGGCTTGGTGGGGAGGGGAGGAAGGGGCGGTGGTGGGGAGGGAGGGGCTGGGTGGGGAGGGGACGGTGGGGAGGAGCTGGGTGGGGAGGGGCTGGGTGGGGAGGGTAGGGCTGGGTGGGGGGTGGGAGGGGTGGGGCTGGGTGGGGAGGGTGGGGCTGGGTGGGGAGGGAGGGTGGGGAAGGGCTGGGTGGGGGGGGGGTGGGGAGGGGCTGGTCACCCCGTGGTGCCCTTATAAAAATCAACGTTTAACCTACTCACGCCGGCTTGTGCCCGCCCTCACAGTCGGGCTTATTTGCGGAATACACCACGCCGCCGTTGACCCTGGCCATTGACCGAGCAACCCAACGTTCCTACCAGCTCCCTCCGCAGGAATGTGTTCTCGATCCAGTTGGTGGGATCGACCCCCCCCCCCCACCCACTGCTCTACTGCCACCTGCTGGCTACCCGCAAACAGTGCCGGAGTGCTTGTTTGCGAGCACCTATTTATTGTTATTACACGCTTTTATTTAACTCACTCTGTTGTTGTAGTTGTTGTTGTTGTCGTTGTTGTTGTTGTATCCTCAAATATTGTAACTCAATTTTTACCCACTTCCCAATGTGGTATCGACTGCAAACTTGGTATACTTATGTCATACTGGTGACAATATTATATACTATCATTAAAAAAAAACATATATTTTGAAACATTCATTTTAATATGTTATGTTTCGGCTTGGGTCTAATTGTCCACGCTCAACTGACGTTGGCTGTAATTGGCCACGGTCCCTTACGTTGTGGCAAGCTTCGGGGCCACTTCCTGGAGTCGTGGAGTTCTTCCATTACTAGTACATTTCATTAAAGCGTGTTTTAAAAAAAGTTTTTTAAAACATGACTTATGCACTATATATATACCAGTGTTCTTCACTGACTACATATATATAACCCGTTGGCGACTCTGGTCTCATTCCACGAAACGTCGCCCACATCAGAGACGATCGAAACATCGCAGTCGATCAGAGGTGAGAGGGCACAACCCTGTATCACCTGCCCTTACATGGGCCTTCTGATGCGTTCGCGTCACCCGAGGTCACGTGTCACCCAAGGTCACGTGTCACTCGAGGTCACGTGTCACTCGAGGTCACGCCCCACCCGAGGTCACGCCCCACCCGAGGTCACGTGTCACTCGAGGTCACGCCCCACCAGAGGTCACGCGTCACTCGAGGTCACGTGTCACTCGAGGTCACGTGTCACCCGAGGTCACGTGTCACCCGAGGTCACGCCCCAACCGAGGTCACGCTCTACCCCTGGTCACGTGCCACCCGAGGTCACGCGTCACTCGAGGTCACGCGTCACTCGAGGTCACGTGTCACTCGAGGTCACGTGTCACTCGAGGTCACGCCCACCCGAGGTCACGTGTCACCCGAGGTCACGTGTCACTCGAGGTCACGTGCCACCCGAGGTCACGCTCCACCCGAGGTCACGTGTCACTCGAGGTCACGCCCCACGCGAGGTCACGTGTCACTCGAGGTCACGTGCACGCTGTGCAACTGCCCTTTGCGCTGCCGGTACATGCAGCTCAATCCATGCGTTTGGAGTATTTGGCCGCTGTAAATGTCCACGCGAAGATAAGCCGCTTCATTGTGATAGCCAAGTCGCTTCTGACAAAAGAGGGGACCTTACATGGTCAAATACATTTTTTTAATGCCATACCGTCTTTGTCTCTCTCTGTCTGTCTCTCTCCTCAACAGGTTTCATCTGGCAGTGACTGCGCCGTGACTGACCCGGACGATTTCCAGTAGCTCAGTGCCTGAAAGAAAAGAAGAAGAAAAAAAATCACGACACTCAGTGACCGAGAACTGCTTCTCCTTTCTGGGAACCGCCGATGGGTTTACTTTTTTTCTGTTGCACAATTTGCAAAAGGCCGAGTTCCTCGTGAACAATTTTTTTAAAATTCAAAACCTGTCACAAGACGATGGATAATCCTGGCCAGTGACAGATTACGAGCCCGTCGGCGCCTCGCCACATCTCTCCGGGCGAGCTAATCCGCCTGCCCCGCTTGCCTGGCTGGCTTTCCTGCCCGCCTGTCCGCCCGCCTGCCTGGCCACAACTTTTTTGCGGCCTTTGGTTCCTGAGCGGTCGCGGGTGTTGGCGGGCGACTGTTGTTGTTGTTGTGCGGTGAGCGGTTTGGTGAGCCGTGAGAGGGAGAGAGTGGTTGGGAAGGGGGAGGGAGGGGAGGCAGTGGTGAGCGATGGCGGTGAGCAGCGGTGAGCGTTAAGCGGGCCCGGTGATTGTCGGCGAACGGTGGCTGGGGTGGGTGGGTGTGGGTGGTGAGTCGAGCGACAGCGACGATGGCACGGCGAGCGGTGCCGGCAAACGATGACGGTGGGCGGCGGTGGCAGGCGGTGAGCGGCGGACTGGTGGTCGCTGTCTGGTGAACACCGAGCGGTGGAGGAGGGCCGCTTGGCATCGCCGGTGAGTGGCGGTGGCCGCCGGAAGAAAAAAAAAAACGTTTTATTTTATTTTTTTATTTTACATCAGGTTAGGCCCACTGAGCTCTCCCTACATAGCAAATTTTTTTTCTCTCCCAAAAGTGACCTCTGGCCATCAGCAAAAAAACCGAAAGCTCCGTCGAAGCGGGCTCGACCGTCGCGCGGAAAGCTCGCGGACGCTCGGAACCTCGCGATGCCGACCGCAGACACGGCGGGAGAAACCGCGCGGCCGCCACGCGAAGAGGGAGAACGCGCGACCTCCCGCACACCGGGCGAGGGAGATAACATCTCGACGATGGGACGTCCGCTCGGCACCTCGGCGCCGTCGCACCGCCGAGCGCCGGCGCTGCTCGTGGCTCTGGTGGCGCTGGCGGCGCTGTGCCAGCATCCGGCCGCCGCCTGCCCCCGGCAGTGCACCTGCTACGTGCCCACGGACGTCCACTGCACGTTCCGCTACCTGGCGGCCGTGCCGGATGGGTTGTCCGCCGGAGTGGAGAGGATCAACCTGGGGTGAGGTGGGGGGAGGTGGGGGGAGGGCTCGCGCAGGGTGGTGGTGGTGGGGGAGGGGGGGGTGCGACCGACTCGTTCGCTCCCTCGCTCGCTCACCCACCCACCCGCTCACCCAGTCACTCACCCACCTACTCACCCACCCACCGACCTGCTCATTCACCCACTCGCTCACCTACCCACTCTCTCATTCACCCACTCAGTCATTCACCCACCCTCTCACCTACCCACTCACTTATTCACCCACTCGCTCACCTACCCACCCACTCAGTCACCCACCTAATCAGTCACCCAACCACCCGCTCGCTCATTCACCCACTCACTTATTCACCCACTCACTTATTCACCCACTCGCTCACCTACCCACCCACTCAGTCACCCACCTAATCAGTCACCCACCCACCCGCTCGCTCATTCACCCACTCGATCGCCTACCCACTCTCTCATTCACCCACCCACTCAGTCACCCACCCACCCGCTCACTCACTCGCTCACTCACTCATTCACCCACTCACTCAGTACTCACTCACCCACCCACTCACTCACTTGCTCACTCATTCACCAACTCGATCGCCTACCCACTCTCTCATTCACCCACCCACTCAGTCACCCACCCACCCGCTCGCTCATTCACCCACTCGATCACCTACCCACCCACTCAATCGCCCACCCACTCAGTCACCCACCCACCCGTTCGCTCATTCACCCACCCGATCGCCTACCCACTCTCTCATTCACCCACCCACTCAGTCACCCACCCACCCGCTCACTCACTCGCTCGCTCACTCATTCACCCACTCACTCACCGACCCACTCATTCAGTACTCACCCACCCACTCACCCACCCCCATTTAATCATTTGGTGAACATCTGAACCAGTGCAGGCCCTTCCCTAGCTCGACCCAGCCTTGAAACGAGCACCTGGTCCAGTGAGTAAACGTCAGCACTGGGGAGACAAAGGCGGCCGGGCCTGGTGCCGGCCACCCAACCCCCCTCGTGTGTGCCACAGTGCCGGCCCTTCGTGGGTGCTGTCACTCGCCAAGCAGCACTTGCCCAATCGGCCTATGAGAGGCTATACGGTGGCGGGGGGGGATCTTTATCTTTAGATTTGAAGCTTTCGTGACTGCAAGGATTCATATTCTTGGGGTTCTTTTGGTAAAGTCACGTAGGTAAAAAAATTAAAATTTAAATTAATAAAAGTAAAAAAAATCACGACGTTTCGGAGGCAACACAAGCTTCCGTCTTCAGGTGGAACCGTCACAGCACGCTCGCTGTATCAACCAGTATATATACGGGGTTGGATCTCTTGGAATTTCTCATTTACTTGATACAGCGAGCGTGCTGTGACGATTCCACCTGAAGACGGAAGCTTGTGTTGCCTCCGAAACGTAATTTTTTATTTTATTTTACTTTTATAAATTTTAATTTTTTACCTACGTGACTTTACCGAAAAAACCCAAGAACATTTTTATCTTTGCCTTGTACGCGTGTTCGCCGCATGCAGCTACAACAGCATCGCGCAGCTCGGAGCCGAGTCGTTCGCCAACCTGGGCGCTCTGGAGCTCCTCATGCTGCACAGCAACAACATCCAGAGCCTGCCCGCCAACGTCTTCAAGGACCTCGGGTCCATGCAGGTAACCCCGACCTCGCCGCTGACGATCGTCGTCCTCCTCCTGAGCGTCGGCATCGTGAGCCGCGGTCAGTCCGCCGCTGGGTGATGGTCTCCCCAAGCCGTCGCCGCCGGTGCTGCCGCTTGTGGTGGTTCCCGGCTGCAGAGTGAAGGGTCCATCCTGGACGTTGAGGGTCCATCCTCGATGTTAAGGATCCATCCATGAGGTTACAGATCCATCCTTAAGGTTAAGGATCCATCCATGAGGTTACAGATCCATCCTCGAGGTTAAGGATCCATCCATGAGGTTACAGATCCATCCTTGAGGTTAAGGATCCATCCTCGAGGTTAAGGATCTATCCATGAGGCTACAGATCCATCCTTGAGGTTAAGGGTCCATCCTCGATGCTAAGGATCCATCCATGAGGTTACAGATCCATCCTTGAGGTTAAGGATCCATCCTCGATGTTAAGGAGGATCCATCCTGCTACTGCTGCTGCTTCTGGCTCGCCATCGAACAAAGACGACAGTCTCCGTGTCGTGCGGCGCTTTCAGGCGCGCTTCTGCGTCCGTCTGGAATGCTCCTCATTCCGATATCAGGAAAGCATTGGGAGCTCTGAACTTAAAACATCGTCATCCAGATTGATAAGATCATTTTATTATCACCGCTTTTCTGCGTTGAGTTTGTTGTCCGTCCCCCTGAACACCTCCGATTATCCGCGGCAGGTCTACGTCACGGCGCGAAAGGAGTTCAACATACTACGCATGCATTCCATGCGGAAAGACAATGCATGCAATAATGCTTGCAGAGGCCTTCATCCAGCAGTGGCTGACGATGATGCTGACGATGACGACGTGAATGATGAACGTTTTGCGTGCGGCGGGAAATATAGAGAAGGTGACGCATAGCGTTATTTAGTTATTCTTTAACACCGGCATGGAAACGTTTTAATGGTTTAATTGTTTACAATAGTGTTGTATAAATTAGTCGTATTTTTACTTTTTTCCTTTGACTTATACTAACCACCACCCGCCCGCCAACCCCCCCCCACTCCCCCGCCCTCCCCCCCTGCCCCACCGCCCCCGCCCACCCACCCCGCTCCGCCCACCGCCACCAGGTCCTGAAGATGAGCTACAACAAGGTGAAGGTGATCAACCGCGAGACGTTCCACGGCATGGGCGCCATCGTCCGCCTCCACCTGGACCACAACAAGATCGAGTTCGTGCACCCGGACGCCTTCGGGGGCCTCTCCACGCTGCGCTTGCTGCACCTGGAGGGCAACCTCCTGCGCCAGCTGCACCCCAACACCTTTGTCACCTTCTTCCTGCTGGACCACGTGCGCGTCTCCGCCATCCGGCACCTGCACCTGTCGGACAACGCCCTCGAGTCGTTGCCGCGCGACATGATGGCCTACCTGGGCGGGCTGGAGAGCCTCTACCTGCACGGCAACCCGTGGGCCTGCGACTGCTCGCTGCTGTGGCTCCTCGAGTGGGAGAGGGCGCACGAAGGTCAGGGTCGCGAGGTTGTGGCGATCGCCGCCCCCGGTAACCCAAGAGGGCGACGGGAGGAACGTAGCGACCGTCGCCCCGGTAACCCAAGAGGGCGACGGGAGGAACGTAGCAACCGTCGCCCCCGGTAACCCAAGAGGGCGACGGGAGGAATGTAGCGACCTTCGCCCTGGTAACCCAAGAGGGCGACGGGAGGAACGTAGCGACCGTCGCCCCGGTAACCCAAGAGGGCGACGGGAGGAACGTAGCAACCGTCGCCCCCGGTAACCCAAGAGGGCGACGGGAGGAATGTAGCGACCTTCGCCCTGGTAACCCAAGAGGGTGACGGGAGGAACGTAGCAACCGTCGCCCCCGGTAACCCAAGAGGGTGACGGGAGGAACATAGCGACCATCGCCCCGGTAACCCCTGGGGCGACCGAAGGGTGCAGACTACGGTGAATCGTTGTTTAACATGCTAGTAGTAGTAGAGCGGGGTGCCGCGATGGCTAGGAGATGTTAACTACCTCGCCTGGTATACAGGAGGTTGTGGGTTCGATCCCGACCCTGACACCTGCTGTATATTCGGAGTTTGCGGTGTCTCTCTTATCATCATGGTAGCTAGGAGATGTTAACTACCTCGCCTGGTACACAGGAGGATCGTGGGTTCGATCCCGACCCTCTGACAACTGCTGTATATTTGGAGTCCTCCGGTTTTTCCCTCCCAGTTTAGAATTAACATCACGTTTTTAAAGTATTTGGCTGCTATAAATTCCCATGCAATGATGATAAGCCACTTCGTTGAGGTCTCATTCATGTTAGCCAGGTTCGCCCGATGTAGCTTGGTGGGCCTTACCTGGTAAAATTAAATACTTTTAGTTTCAGTAGAAGCGTTCCTAACAAGTGTGGCTTTGAGCGGAAGCAAAATTTCCCATTAATGATGTAGTAACGATAGAGTTTGGCGAGCTACGGTGTACTACTACGCACACCGCGCAGTGAGATGCCAGGACAAATAACTGAGGCTATGCCGCAGCGTTAATGTATCACTCTGCATTATCGTGTCACTGTTGTCACTCAGATGTGCAGCTCAAGAAAGTAGTTCGTCGTCCACTCAGAAACCGCATTGTAACGGCACGCGTTCTGCATTATCTGGCATGCCCTTCTCTATTGTTGAAAAACGTGGACCTCCCCCAAAATGGAACATCTTCGCCAGTTGGAAACATTCACGCTGGCCTGCCTATGATCCATCCTGGGTTTAACCAGGCTGGATTGTGTGAGGAGCTCACAAATCCTTGAAAGATCTGGGCAAAGTCCCATCGGTGAGCTACTCGGTCAGGCAAGGCTGCATTGACTGTGTCATGTAGCCGCACGCCCAACCACCGCATGCCTAGACAGCTTTTGTTTGGCCGAATCGAGGGGGCTAAATTAACCCGGCACAGGCTAGAGAAGAAGTATGTAATACAAGAGGATGTGGAGCCGCATTTACTTGTCGATGACTGGTACGCTTCAACACACCGGTGGGCTAAAGCAGTGAACTATTTGTCTTTTGTCAACGTGACACTTTTTTTGCTGATTGGCCATGTCGGGTGGTGGAGGGTTACGACACATTTATAAATAACGTGATATAAACCCAAAAACGTTGATTATGAATGGTACCAGTGGTCTCAAGATTGAAGGATGCCGCTACTAGGCAGTTGGAGGCAGTCACCCTCCAGCAACAACGGAGGGCAGAAGAGTGACGTTCACAACAATGAGCGGAGCGCTGGGCAGCTAAAATACAGCAAGTTGGCGCATTAGGGGGCATAGGTGGCGCATCTGCCAGTCATCTCAGTCAGTCAACCCATGCCACCTGGGTCTGTCTTGTGATGTCCTCTCAATAGGCGTTTGACACGTCTCGTGACCTTAAAGTTCACATAGCCTGGCACAAGCGTCACAACTTAGTGGTGAATGGCGGCTGTTGTTGTTGTTGTTGCTGCGTATATCCATCCGTGCTGCTCCTCACTAACAGCAACTTGCTCCAGCAGTCTGTTAAGGCTATACGGGGGGGGGGTGGTGGGATTTTTGTCTTTGTGTTGGAGCAGATGTGGTGAAGTGCAAGCGCGACCGGGCTTACCGGGGCGGCCGTCTCTGCGCCACGTGCGCCAGCCCGCCCGCCCGTGCCAACCAGGAGCTGCTCGGCAACGCCTCGCGGCTGTCCTGCAACCGCCCGGCGATCCGCTCGCCTCTCAAGCTGCGCAACAGCACCCTGTGGGAGGGCTCGGAGGGCGAGCGGGGAGCGCCGCCGCCACCGCCCCCCATCGACCTGCGGCGGCCCATCGGCAGCGTCGTGCTCAACGTGTCCGACGAGAACGGGAACCGCGCCGACCTGGCGTGCAACGTGCAGCGCCCGCGCGAAGGCAGAGGTGACGCCGGCGCCGGCGTCCCCCTGCCCCGGTGGGAGGTCGCGGACGGCGTCCTGTCCGCGAACCTCACCTACGCGACTTCCTTGGCCTGCGAGCTGGGGCCCGAGGAGATGCGGACGCTGTGGAAGATCGTCGCCTTCTACAGCGAAGCGCCACTCCGCCTCGCCAGGGAGATCATGCTGAGTAAGGAGCCCCACCTGAGCTTTCGCTACAAGCAGGCGGCGCCCGACGGCGAGTCGCGGCACTTCACCGGCGTAAGGGCGGCCGTCACGGCCTCGCCCTCGTGGCTCATGCAGGATGCCATCGAGCTGCGGCTCGACCGCAGGCGGACGACGCTCAAGACGCTCTACCTGGCCTTCACGGCAGAGGTGAGCGATGCCCGCCATCTCCCGGGCCAGGCGGATCGCAACGGTTGGGCCATGATCAGCCGCGACCGGGACGCTGGCACGGAGGCCGTGGCGCTGTCGGGCGGCGCCTTCGAGCTCGACTGCCGCGCCTTCGGCTTCCCCAAGCCGACCGTGCGCTGGATTCTGCCGGACGGCACCTTCCTGTCGGCGCTCGAAGGCGACGACGGCGGCGCTGACCGCGGCCGGGGCGACGGCCGCCCCTCCCGGGTGACGGCGTCGGCGGACGGGCGGCTCGCGGTACGGGCGGCGGTCGCCGCGGACGCCGGGACCTACCGCTGCGTGGCGACGGCGAGGGAGGACCACGACGTGCTGGCAGTGCGCGTCGAGGTGCTCGACTTCTCGTCGGGCCGCGACGTCAACGGCGCGGTCATCGCCAAGCACGCTGGTGACGCCTTAGCCCTGCCGTGCGTGGCGAGTGGCGCGCCCGACCCCTCCGTTCGGTGGATCCTCCCCGACGGGACGGCGCTGGGCAGGTCGAACGCCGGCGGCGGGCAGGCCAGCGGCGGGGCCCGCGTGTCGGCCAACGGCACGCTGACCGTCGAGGAGGTGGGCGACGGCGGCTACTACCACTGCGTTGCCGTCAACTCGCACGGCGTCGATCTGCTCACGCACCGGGTGGTCGTGAAGCACCGGCTGAGGCCGCCGCCCCTGCCGGCGCGCGGCCGGAGCACAAAGGCCCGCATCGAGCTGCTGCTGCCGGGCGGCGGCGTTGGGGCCGGCAGGGAGGCGGCGGTCGCGCCGGACGAGGGCTCCGGGGGGGCGGGAGAAGCGATCGACGAGGACGACGGCGGCAAAGGCAGAGCTTCGGCCGCCGTGGCCGCGGCCGCAACGACGACGGCGACGAGGGCGAGGCGGCCGCACGCACGGCCCGCCGGCGCCGCGGCACGGGTCCCGGCGGGGAGGCCGTTCCGCAAGGGGGCGGCGGCGGCGGCTGCCGGGCACAGGGCTCAGACGGTGGAGGGGAGGCGAGGGGGGTCACGGGAGGAGGGGGAGAAGGACGAGAATGAGGATGAGGAGGAGTCTGCAGCGAGGGTGAATGGGAGACGGACTCAGACGAGGCCATTCCGGGAGGGGACGTCGGCTGCCTCCGGCGGACGCAGGGCCCAGACCACAGCGGAGAGGCGACGGGGGTCAGAGGAGACCTCCCAAGAGTCCGGCAGCTCACGGAACGAGAAGCATGATGAAGAAAGAGGAGAAGGGGAGGAGGAGGAGAAGGAGGAGCAGGTGGAAGAGCAGAAGGCGGACGAGTCCGGGGGAAGAGCAAACGGCAGACGGACTCAGGCAAGGCCGTTCCGGAAGGGGACATCAGCTGCGATGGGTGGGCGCAAGGCTCAAATGGTGGAGGAGAGGCGAGCCGCATCACGGGAGGCTTCAAGGGGTAAGAAAAATGAGGAGGAGAATGCAGAGGATGGGGAGGATTCTGGAGGGAGGGCGAACGGGAGACGGATTCCGGCGAGGCCTTTCCTGAAGGGGACATCAACTGCCGTGGGCGGGCGCAGGCCCCAGACCGTGGAAGAGACCCCAGCAGAGGCCTCCCCAGAGTCTAGCAGCTCGCAGAACAGGAACGAAGAGGAGGAGAAGGAGGAGGAGGAAAAGGAGTCCGTAAGGAGTTCGAACAGGAGACGGATTCCGACAAGGCCGTTCCGAAAAGGGACAGCGGTTCCCGGTCGGTACCGGGCGCAGCCCGCCGAAGAGGAGGAGGAGAGGCGGAAGCCCCTCCAAGAGGGTAGAGGGAGCTCAAGGAAGGAGGAGATTGGGAAGGACGAAAATGCAGAGGAGGAGGAGAAGGAGGAAGAGGAGGGAGAGGAGGAGGAGTTTGTAAGGAGGGAGAATGGGAGACGGATTCCGACGAGGCCGTTCCGAAAGGGGGCGGCGGTTTCGGGTCGGCACCGGGCCCAACCCGCCGAGGAAGAGGAGGAGGAGAGGCAGAAGCCGCTCCAAGAGGGTAGAGGGAGCTCCAGGAAGGAGGAGATTGGGAAGGACGAAGATGCAGAGGAGGAGATGGAGGAGAAGGAGGAGGAGAAGGAGTCTGCAGGGAGGTCGAGTGGCCGCACGGATTCCGGGAATGAGCAGCGGACGCCCGGCAGGCGCTGGGGCGCTGGCGGTGGTGCTGGCGGTGGCGGCTCACGGATCAGCCAGCAGATCGGGCGGCTGGACCCGAAGAAGTGGGCAGAGATCCTGTCGCGCGTGCGCAACCGGAACGTGGCGCGGGCGCGGACCACGAGCGCACCGGGGCCCGCGACGACGGCGGGGGCGCCGCCGACGGCGGCCGTCACGCCCGGCGGGGCCACGACGAGCGAGCCGTGGCAGCTCGTGGAGTCTGAGTCGTCAGAGCGGGAGGAGTCGGAGGAGTCGGAGAGCGAGGAGAAGCGGGAGGAGGAGCGGGAGGAGGAGACGGTGGAGGAGCAGGAGGAGGGGCAGGAGGAGGAGAGGGTGGAGGAGAGGGTGGAGGAGACGGTGGAGGAGTCAGAGGAGTTTGAGAGCGAGGAGGAGCGGGAGGAGGAGCGGGAGGAGGAGACGGTGGAGGAGCAGAAGGAGGAGCAGGAGGAGGGGCAGGAGGAGAAGAGGGTGGAGGAACAGGAGGAGGAGCAGGAGGCGCAGGAGGAACAGGAGGAGGACCAGGAGGATGAGTCTTCAGCTTCCGGGCCTCTTAGAAACCTGGACCTGTCACAGGAAGAACTGCTGGACGCCGGAACGCTGACGCGAGCGGCGCTGCCGGCGTCCGTGCTGGAGATGTTCGAGTCGGAACACGGTGGCCGTGATGGCACCGGGGATGGGGCAGAGCGAGAGGAGTCCACGAGCGTGGACGGACTTGAGGAGGAGGTGGAGGAGGTCGAGGAGAAGGAATCAGAGCGAGGGGAGTCTGCGAGCGTGGATGAACTTGAGGAGGAGGTGGAGGAGGAGGTGGAGGAAGAGGTGACGGAGGAGGTGAAGGAATCAGAGCGAGTTCATTCCCCTAAGGAGCACGGTGGAGGTTCGTCGTCACAAGAGACAACGGCCGATGAGGACCGATCTGAGGATGGAGGTGGTGAAGAGAGACCTTCTTCTAAAGATGAAGATGAGGAAGAGACACTTTCCTCCTCCGAGGATGATGATACAAATTGGCGATCCCTTGAGGTTGAAGATAACGAACAGGCTCGTTCCTCTGATGATGATGATGATGATGAAAACGAAGAAAGGCATTCCACTGAGGTTGACGAAGAGGATGGTGATGATGATGATGATGAGATTCGTTCCTCTAAAAATGAAGGCGAGGAAGAGGGACATAAAGAAGATGATGATGATGATGATGACAATGATAATGAAGAGGATCAATCCTCTGAAGTTGAGGATGACAACGCCATGGCCCACCGCTCATCATCACGAGACAGCGTTGACCGTGACGGAGCTTCTCGTCATGACGTCACCACCACCGTCGTGCAATCGCCCACGGCAAAGACAATGACGGCACCACCAACGGATGATAGCGACGAGTTGGATTACGATTTACCGGGCTCGGAAAACGATGATGATGATGATGATGACGACAAAGATGATGTTTATGAAGATGGAAAACAACCATCGGAAAACGATGATGATGACGAAGATGGAAAACAATCATCGGAAAATGATGAAGATGATGATGATGAAGATGGAAAACAACCATCGGAAAACGATGATGATGACGAAGATGTAAAACAACCATCGGAAAACGATGATGATGATGATGATGACGAAGATAGAAAACAATTGTCGGAAAACGATGACGATGACGAAGATGGAAAACAACCATCGGAAAATTATGACGATGACGATGACGAAAATAGAAAACAACCATCGGAAAATGATGACGATGATGATGATGAAGATGTAAAACAACCATTGGAAAACGATGATGATGACGAGGATGGAAAACAATTGTCAGAAAACGATGACGATGACAAAGATGGAAAACAACCATCGGAAAATGATGACGATGACGAAAATAGAAAACAACCATCAAAAAATGATGACGATGATAATGATGAAGATGAAAAACAACCGTTGGAAAATTATGACGATGATGATGACGAAGATGGAAAACAACCGTCGGAAAATGATGACGATGACGATGATGATGGAAAACATCCATCAGAAAATGATGATGATGAAGATGATGATGATGATGATGGAAAACAACAATTGAAAAACGATGACAATGATGATGTCGATGATGTTAAACAACCATCAGAAAATTATGACGATGATGGAAAACAACCATCGGAAAATGATGACGATGATGATGGAAAACAGCAATCGAAAAACGATGACAATGGTGATTACGATGATGGAAAACAATTGTCAGAAAACGATGACGATGACGAAGATGGAAAACATCCATCGGAAAATGATGACGATGATGATGTCGATGATGTAAAACAACCATCAGAAAATTATGACGATGATGGAAAACAACCATCAGAAAATGATGACGATGACGAAGATGGAAAACAACAATCGGAAAACGATGACAATGATGATGTCGATGATGGAAAACAACCATCAGAATATGATGACAATGATGACAAACAACCATCGGAAAATGATGACGATGATGATGATGATGGAAAACAACAATCGAAAAACGATGACAATGATGATGTCGATGATGAAAAACAACCATCAGAAAATGATGACAATGATGGAAAACAACCATCAGAAAGTGATGATTACGATGATGATAGAAAACAACCATCAGAGAACGATGATGATGATGACGATGGCAATGATGATAACAACGACGAGGAAAATCAAACATCAGAAATTGATGATACAGATACAAAAGGAACCTCAGAAAGTGAAGAAACAGCCGAAGAGTCACAACCTCGCTATGAAACCACTCCAGACTTCACATCAGCGCCAGCATGGCCGGAGTCTGGGCTACCGGCCAAACCACAGGGGGGCACCTGGCACAAGTCGGGCACTTCTCGAGAAGGAGAGGAGGAGGAGGAGGAGGACAAGGAGGTGGAAGAAGAAGAGAGAGTGGAGGGGGAGGATGACGACGAGGTGGGAGAAGACCAGCCGACAGACTCGGCCGCGGAGCAGACAGGCGATGAAGGAAGCGACGAAGGAGGCGATAGGGGCACCCACCGCACGGAGCCCACGACGGCCGCTGCTGAAACCGTGGACGCGTGGCCGGACACGGCGGAGCCGACGGCCACCAAACCCGCCGAGCACGACTCGCCCGTGGTCACCCAAGCGGCCTCCTCCCCCGAGCGGCCCACAGCCTCTCCGGAGCGTGCGACGGCCGCCGGAGGCCGCTGGCCCTTCGCCGGGCGGCGGCGGCGGCCTCCCCAGCGGTGGAGGTTTCAGGAGGCAGGGGAGAGAAGCAATCACTTCGGCGATGCTCGCCGGCTGCCCGCGCCTGGGTCCGGTCCTCGGAGGGGAGGCTACGCGGGCCGAATGGGACCGGGTGACAACCGGGAAGGCGGAGGCCAGAACATCGGACCGATTGCCGTAGCGACAGCGAAGACGACGACGATGGCGGCGACGACGGCGAAACCGGAAGGTCCTGATCTGGCGGTCACGCTGGCGGACGAGACGATCGGAGCGCCGGAGGCCACGGCCGACGTACCACCGGAGGGTCTGGGGGAGGGTGGTGCCGACGCGGACGCAACGAGGGCAGGCGGCCGTGCGGTGGCGGCAGAGACGACGGAGAGCCAACGTGCGGAGGACACGCTCAGATCGCCCGGATCTGACGCCGTGGAGCCTCCAGAATTGACTCGCCTGGCGGAGGAGGAGTCGGGCAATCGCTGGGAAGGGCCGGGACGGCACCGCGAGGCCGATGGCGGATATGGTGAAGTGGTGAGTCGCGGCGGCGGCGTCGGTGGTGGTGACGGTGAGGATGGCAATGCCAGGGGAGTTCCCCAGGAACCTGACGGTGGTCGTGGCAATGACCATAGAGCAACCGCCTCGTCCACCATTGAAGAAATGTTTTCCGTTGATAATCACAACGACGGAGATAACAATCGTAGAAATGATGACAGAGGTAACGATCGAGGTGGTGATGGTGACGACGACAATGACGACAATCGTAAACAAGATGAAGAGTTCGAACAAGAGGAGGATGTAGAGTCATCTGAGATTCGGACCCCAGTTCACGAATCGACGAGGCGCGGCGGCTCCATCGTGGATGAAATCTTCACGGCGGCTGGGCGCAGTGGAAACGGCGGCGTTGGGGCGCTGCCAGCCGGCACATCGCGTGACCCGGAGGAGGAGACCGAGGCCGGGACGGTGGAGGCAGCCGAACCTGGCGCTGGTGTCACAGACGTCACCGAAACACTCGATGGGGAGGCAACGGCGTCAGAAGTGCCTTCGGAAAGCTGGAGACCCCGACCCAATGCCTACGGAGAGGTTGGAACGAAGGAGCCGCACCGCATGGAGCAGCCACGCGGAGGTCAACCCGAGGTCGGCGCTCACCCCCACCGACAAGGTCCCGGAGGAGAGCCGCCCGTTTCCGGTGGCTCCCCGGAGGGAACCCAACGCTCTAGAGGGCCGGATGAGAAGACGGGGCATGTAGAGTCCGCAGGGACGAGGCCCCCACCGCCACACCGCTCAGAAGGGGCCCAGCAAGGTCGCCGCCGAGGCCCCGGGGGAACCGGCGTTGCTCCCGATTCGCGCGGCGGAGAAACCTCAGGCGGAGGCACTGACCATGGAGCCGATGTTCCGGGAAGACCTCCTCATCCTCCTCATCCTCATCATCCTCTTCCTGCCGGCAGGGTTGCCGTCCCGGAACGGCAGCGGCCACGCTTGGGACAAGGGCCCCACGCGGGACGGCGCCGCATCTCGGCACGACCGACGCCGCCTGGCGTGGGCGAGGGGGGCGGCCGCACAGAAACTCCCGCTTCTGTCGCCGGGGCCGGGCGGCCCTCGTTCCACGACGGAACCGTCAGCGGTGCCACCAAGTGGCATCCTCCACGCTCGCACGAGCCGACAGCCAGCGGCGGCAGCCCGGAAGCATCCGCCGGAGTGCCTGAGTTGCGCAAGCCCTCGCCGGTGCCTGGCACGCTTCCCAACGGCGCTTCGAGCGGCCGCGCCGCGGAATCCGAGCAGAACCGCCTTGGGCCGTGGCCGTGGCCTCCTCGCGCCCAACCAGGCCCGGCGAGCAGCAACCCGCAGAGGCCCGCGCAGGTGCCGGCGAGCCCTTCCATGGGCCGTGACGGGGCCACCCCGCTCAACCGGTCGAGGGCCGGCGGGCGACGCCCGTGGGATGGACCGGGACCGAACGGGCAGTTGCGGCCCGCAGAAGGACTGGTGCCGCGGCGCGTGCCGGGTCGGTTGGGGCCGGAGGAGCGAGTTCACGGGGTCGGGAGTCACGGCAGTGGCGGCGGGGTCGGGCCCGCGATGCACGTTGCCCGGGCAGGCGACAGCCGCGACTCGCACGCGGAGGGGGTGACGTCGGCCGCAGAGGGCGTCCCGGGCTTTGGCGGCGGGCTGCACGCTGCATCGCCCGATCGTGTGGGCGGAAGCCAAGTGGGGCAGGCGACTCGGCGCGGAGAAAATCGGGAAGACCCGGCGCTGGAAACCTTGGAGCAGGTGGCTCCTCCTGCCCTGGTGCCACCTTTGCGGAGGCAACCGGTGGATCATCCGCACTCCGCGGGGACGACGGCAACGTTGGCGGACCCCGGGCGCCCAAGCGAACGCGTTGGGCAGCCGCCAGCAGGGCCCGTCCTTCCAGAGAGGCCCGTGAGCCCATCGTCTGGGATGGCCCCGGGGAGGTGGCCGGCGGTCGACCCAAGGCCTCGGCCGCCCCGGCCCGGCATGGGGCGAGGCCCGGACGTGGCCTCCTCGGGACAATCCGGGACCGTCCCCCGTTCCGGACTCGCGATCGCCGTGCCATTGGAAACGACGCGAGGTGGCGGTGGTGGGGGGCAACGCGGGGAAGCCGGTGAACCGGCACCGGGCTGGCCCTCTCCGCCGGGGCCAGGAGCCGAAGTTCCACCGCCGGGGCGCGGCGACGGCACGCCCGATGACCGTGCCGGGCGCACCGACAACTCCATCGCCTCCACTTGGGGAAGGCCGCACGGCATCCCCGCCGCCACCACGCAGAGGCCGCCCGGAAGGGAGCTGAACCGGCCGCAGGCACCGGGCGCGGTGGGCACCGGAGTCCTTTGGGGGCGGCAACCAATGCCACACGGCGCGGCCACGGAGAAGCCGCGGGTGGCGAAGACCACGACGCAGAGGCCGACGACGCTCAAGCCCGTCCACAACTACCGCTGGGACCATGCGCTGAGCCGCTACGTGCCTGTCTACCTCACGCCGAAACCGCCGCCACCGGCGCTGCGGCCGTGGCCCTTCTACGCGACGGTTCGGCCTCCGGCGGCGGGAGCCGGCGGCGTCGGCGGCCGCGCCACGAACCGCCCAGAAATCACGGCTTTCACCGCCAAGCCGAGTGGTACCACGACAACGGCGGCGGCGGCGGCGCCGACGGAGAGCCCGCACGGACGCTCCAAGGTCACCGTCAACTCCATCGTCATCCCCGGCTGGCCGTCGGGGGTCAAGCACCGAGGCTCCATCGTCATCCACCGCACGCCCGGCCGCTTCGGCTCCCGGAGTGGTCAGTTGCACGTGAGCAGCAGCAGCAGCAGTAGCGGCGGCGGCGGCGCTGGCGGCTACAACTACAACACGAACAACGGCGTCAGGCCCGGAGTCTCGATAATCGTCCACAGCGCCGTGGTAGGCCACAGGCCCACGCAGGCGCCGGCACAAGCTGCTGCCGGCGGTGGTGGCGGTGGTGTCGCGACGGGAGCCAGGACAACGGCGAGGTCACCCTTCGCCGGGAGGAGGGTGCCCGAGTGGCGGCCATTTGGGCGGCCGTACCGGGGTCCGACCGGAGCCAGCACGACTGTCGCGGCCGCCACTACCGCCACCACCGCCGCCACGTTGCCACCACCGCCCCAGCGCCACTATCCGATGTTCGACAACAAGGTGAGCTTGCGGGGTGACGAGCGGGTGAGTGGGAGGGGGGTGAATCGGTGAGCCGGTGTTAATTTATTAATTTCAAAAATTTCGTGCACCTTTTTTTATTTCTTTACATAATTTATGAGGGATTCTGCACCACAACCACCACATCTCACACCCCCCTCTCTCCTCGCCTGCTCCCCAAAATCTCTCCTCTCTACACTCTGTACCCCCCCTCCTCTATATCCTCTCTCTCCCCCATCTTTCTCTCTTCTACCATCGCTCTTTCTCTCCCCCTCCATCTCCATCTCCACCCCCCTGCTCTCCTCTCTCTCCCACTCCATCACTCTCTCCCCCATTCTCTCTCTTTTTTTACGATCAGAGGAAGCAAGGAGATGCTCGGTGTAGTCGGCACTTTGCTTCGTTCATCATTTCGTTAATGCTTTGCTTGATGTAACCCCCCCTCCCCTTTTTAAATTAGAGATTTCACAATAGATTTCACGCTCTCTCTCTCTCTTTCTAAAGCTCCAGCAGCCGCCACGGGAGCGAGGAGGGGACCGCCAGGGCCCGTCCGGCGTCGTTCCTCCCGACGTCGTTCCACCCGCGGCGAATGCGGTGCCGCAAGCCAGCGCTCCGCAGAAACCGCGAATCATCACCGGCGGCGGCGCGGGCGGCACCGTCACCGTCACCGTCGCGGCCGATGCAGACCTCTACGTGGACTGCCAAGTGGAGGGCAACCCCCCACCTACTGTCACCTGGATGAAGGTGTCCACAGGTGCGGGAATGGAGGGGGACGGAGGGAGGGGCTTGGGGGAGTGGCAGGGGGGAGGAGCGGGTGGTGGTGGTGGTGGTGTAGGAGGTGATGATGGAGGAAGCTGATAGATTATAGAGTTGGAGGAGGTTATGGAGGTGGTGGTGGTAGAGATGGCGGTGGTGGTGATAGAGGAGAAAGTAGAGGATGTGGAAGTGATAGATGTGGCGGTGGTGGTGGTGGTGGTGATAATATAGATGGAAGTGGTGGTGGAGGAGGTGGTGGTGGAGGCAATGGAGGAGGAAGTGAAGGAGGTGATAGAGATGGTGGCAGAGATGGAGGTGGTTGTGGAGGTAGTGGAGGTTATGGAGGAGGAAGTGGAGGAGGTTATAGAGGTGGACCACCGCTCACTCCGTGCGATTCACGCGTGGGCGGCTATGCCGATCCGAGCACCGTCCTCTTCCGTTCCGTCACGAGATGACGTCATAACCACCGCCCCCCCCCCACCACCACCACCCTACGGCAGGCGCCGTCATCAAGGCCAACTCCCGGCATGGCTCGCGCTTCGAGGTGTTCGGCAACGGCACGCTGGCGATCCGCGGCGCCGTGCTGCAGGACCGCGGCCAGTATGTGTGCACGGCGGCGAGCGCCCTGGGGGCCGCCCGGCTGGCGGTGGCCGTCGCCGTCAGCGCTCAGCCGCCGCGCATCCTCGTCGCCGCTCGCCACCGCGACGTCACCGCGCCGCTCGGCTCCATCGCCGAGTTGGCATGCCCCGCCGAGGGGCGGCCGGCGCCCCAGCGGGCCTGGGTGCTGCCCGACCGGACGGTGTTGCGCGGCGCGGCGGCGGGGTCAGCGGCCGTGCCGGCGACCGGAGGTGAGAGGCAGGAACCGGGAAGGGCGGGGGGGGGCACCGCCTTCCGTGAAAAATCCGTCAAAATCGTCCCGAGTGGACGCTGGTTGGCGTAAATCGGCAAACGCAGTTGATGGCAGATTGTAAATGTTTCCGCGGCTTTGCTCTCCAACATGCCGCCGGTGTGCTGAAGTTGCAACTAATTGGTACGTTTGTACTCACGTGGCAAAGCCCTTGCCCATTGGCTTTGTCGGGTTTCGGTGGGTTTAAACGACGCGTTTATATTCACGCGATGAACAGGGACTCCTCTACTGACGAACGAGTTAGGTCTGTTTGTAAGTCGATTTGTTCGTGAGTCCAACTTTACTCCTGTAAATTTCAAACGTGTTGTTATGACATGTGAACTAAACACGGGGAATAGCTTTAAAAGTTGTAAAATGTCCTGGTTCTTCACATTCTGCAGATGTAGATGTCATTAGTTATTCACGTTCTGCAAATGTAGATGCCACTGGTTCTTCACGTTCTATAGATGTAGATGCCACTGGTTCTTCACGTTCTGTAGATGTAGATGCCACTGGTTCTTCACCTTCTGCAGATGTAAATGTCACTGGTTCTTCACGTTCTATAGATGTAGATGCCACTGGTTCTTCACGTTCTGCAGATGTAGATGCCACTGGTTCTTCATGTTCTGGAGATGTAGACGCCACTGGTTCTTCGTGTTCTGCAGATGTAGATGCCACTGGTTCTTCATGTTCTGCAGATGTAGATGTTCCTGGTTCTTCATGTTCTGCAGATGTACATGCCACTGGTTCTTCACGTTCTATAGATGTAGATGCCACTGGTTCTTCACGTTCTGTAGATGTAGATGCCACTGGTTCTTCATGTTCTGTAGATGTAGATGCCACTAGTTCTTCATGCTCTGCAGATGTAGATGCCACTGGTTCTTCATGTTTTGCAGATGTAGATGCTACTGGCTCTTCACGTTCTGCAGATGTAGATGCCACTGGTTCGTCACGTTCTGTAGATGTAGATGCCACTGGTTCTTCACGTTCTGTAGATGTAGATGCCACTGGTTCTTCATGTTCTGCAGATGTAGATGCCACTGGTTCTTCACGTTCTGCAGATGTAGATGCTACTGTGCTGTTCACCTATTGGCATCCTCTGGTCTAACACTGTTTGAGACTAGGCTCTAAAAAAAGTTGTGTCTGGTGTGGCCCAGTCAGTTTCAAAGACAATGCATCATCATAGACTACCAGATCATGTGTTTGTTTGCATGTTCACCACAGGTACGTGTGGTTAATGCGGACATGATTCCTTGCAAAAGGCTTCGGTTTGCTGTTTTAACACCTTAACTGTTTTATTGCCATAAAGGGTAAAACTGATTCTCTTACAACAACAATAATGATCTTCTTGGTTCTTTCGGTAAAGTCACGTAGAATGGGAATAATAAAATAATAAAAATAAAACATAATAAAATATATTATTTCGGTAAAGTCACGTAGAATGGAAATAATAAAATAAAACATAATAAAATTATATATTTTATAATGTTTTATTTTTATTATTTTATTATTTCCATTCTACGTGACTTTACCGAGACAACCAAGAAGGTGAATCCCTGCAGTCACAAAAGCTTTAAATCGAAACAATAATGATTCTTACAACTCGCAATATTCATCGTCGCCGCCGTCTGCCTGCCTGGGCACCAGCTGGTGGGCGCGCCAGCCTGGACGCCAACGGCACGCTTCGCATCACCGACATCGCCTTCGCCGACCGGGGCCCCTACAAGTGCGTCGCGAGCAACTCGGCCGGCGCTGACACGGCCACGGTGCGCCTCCACGTCCTCGGCCTGCCCCCCAGCATGCTGCAGGGCCGCCGCTCTGACGTGACGGCTCGTGCCGGCGCAGCCCTGGCCCTGCACTGCGCGGCGCGCGGTACCCCGGCGCCGTCGCTGCGCTGGGTGCTAGCGGGCGGCGCCCAGATCCGCCCGTCGCAGTACCTGGATGGGCGCCTCTTCGTCTACCCCAACGGCACGCTGCTGGTGAAGAGCGTCGTGCCGGCCGATGCCGGCGCCTTCGAGTGCCTCGCCACCAACTCGCTGGGCGCCGACCGCAGCGTCTTCGTCGTCACCGTCGAGCAGGAGTACCGGCGGCCGTTACCGGATGATGTTCCGGCGCCGCCGCCGTCGCGGCAGCAGCAGCAGCCGCCGCTACCGGCGATCGGCCGGCAGGCCGCGGAGGAAGGCCGGGCGGCCAGGCCCGGCGCGGCCAGGATCGTGGCATCGACGCCGCGGCGCATGCAGGTCAGCTACGGCGCCACGCTGCAGCTGGCGTGCAACGCGAGCGGGACGCCCGCGCCCCGCATCCTCTGGAGGCTCCCGTCGAAGAAGTTTGTGGACATCTACTCGCGGTGAGCGGGGAGGCCTTGAGCACGTGGGTGGGTGTGGGTGGGTGTGGATGAGCGGTTGTGTGAGTATGCTGGTGAGTGGTTGTGTGTGTGGGTGTGTGGGTGAGTGGTTATCTGAGTGTGTGGGTGAGCAGTTGTGTGAGTGTGGGTGAGCGGTTGTGTGAGTGTGTGGGTATGTTGGTGAGCAGTTGTGTGAGTGTGGGTGAGCGGTTGTGTGTGTGTTGGTGAGTGGTTGTGTGCTCGCTAACAGCACTTGCCCCTACAGTCTGTTAAGGCTATACGGGGGATCTTTGTTTTTGTTTTTGTGTGGGTATGTTGGTGAGTGGTTGTGTGTGTGGGCGTGTGGGCGAGTAGTTGTGTTTGTGTGGGTACGTGGTTGTGTGTGAATGCTTGTGTGTCTGTGGGTGAACGATTGTGTGAGTGTGTGGGAGAGTGGTTGTGTTGTATGGGTGTGTGTGTGTGGTTGTGGGGAGCGGTGGTGTCGTGGTTACCGCGCCGCGTTACAAACCCGGCGACCCGAGTTTGACTCCCACTCACGGCCAACACCAGTGGCGGCTATCTGAACCGACCCTGGGCCTCCCCCGAGGTTGACTCGGCCTAGTACCTGGCGCGGCCAGGTGTCGTGTATGTGCGTTGAACTTCTTTCGCACCGTACGTAGCCAACTGTGCTAATCGGAGGTGCAGGGGAGGGACAATGAACCAAAAACACCAACAAGCAGTTCTCAAGAAATAACTTTTAGACGATAATTTAAAACTGCACAGCTCCCAGTGGCTTCCGAACATCGGAAGGAAGAGAGCGTTCCAGACGGCCGCAGAAGCGCGTCTGAAAGCGCCGCGCGATGCGCCGACCGCCATCTTTGTTCGACGGCCGGCAGCCAAAAGCTGCCACTGCCGCTGCGGTGGTGCCAGCCACCCGCGCCCCTTCCTGTGCCCTTCCCATCTTCTAAGCCAGCGGTCCACAACCTTTTGGTCACCAGGGACCGGTTGTGTGGAAGGCAATTTTTTCACGGACCAGGGGGGGGGGGGGGGGGGGGTTCATCATTGGGTCTTTCTCCCTTTCAAAGAAGCGGCGACGTTTGTTGTCTTACTCATTGTGGCTACTCGGGGTTAGCAGCTTGTGGGCTCACCAGAACCGTGACTGAGACAAGTCCGCAGTGCAGGAAAGAGGCACGGACGGAAGTGGTCAATAAAATAATGGGGGCGGGCCCCCGTTCTAAGCAACTGCTGCTCGCTAACTTCCGGCTCTCACCGCTCTGCACCCCACCCCTTCCCCACGGCCCACCGCCACCACCACCACCACCGCCACCACCGCCGCCGCCACCGCCGCCGTGACCGCCGCAGCTCAGACGAGCGCACGCGCGTGCTCACCGACGGCTCGCTGGTGGTGGCGGGCGCCAGCGAGGCGGACGCAGGCGACTACCTGTGCCTGGCGCGCAACTCCCTGGGCGACGACGCCGCCGCCACCAAGGTGGAGGTGCTGCTGCGGCCGGCGCGCATCGACGGCAAGGGGCCCAGCGGGGACCGGCGGGTGCGCTACGGCGGCGACTTCCAGTTCGACTGCGTCGCGTCGGGCGTGCCCAACCCCGAGATCTCGTGGAAGATGCCGGACGGCACCCTGGTGAACGGCGTCGCCGCCGGCGGAGGAGGAGGAGCAGGAGGCGGGGGCGGCGGGGAGCGCAGCAAGCGCTTCGTGCTGTTCGACAACGGGACGCTGTTCTTCGACAAGATGGGCGTGCGTGACCAGGGTGACTACACCTGCTACGCGGAGAACAAGGTCGGGCGCGACGAGATGGTCGTGCGGGTGCTGGTGGAGACGCGGGCCGCACGCATCGAGCACAAGGTCTGTGCACCGCTCATTCCTTCGCTGTTAAACGACGGACAGAACTCCTTTACGTTTTAATGAATCTATCGGGTTTTTAAAATTGTAATTTCTATTGCGTACATTTTATATTTTTTTCGTTCGATTATATTATTTAATGTCTTATTATTTATTTGATTTTAGCAGGTAAGGCCCGAGGAGTAAAACAGATTCTCTTTCAGAAGTGACCCTGAGCCATGACTTGTTTGCCAAGAGACAAAAGCTTCGTGTTCTTACTAAAATAATAATTGTTAAACTATTTGACGGATTTTTTTAATTCTCCCAGGTAAGGCCCCACTGAGCTGCACAGCGACCTGTCCATCGCAAACATTCATAGCAGCCAACTACTGCAAATGTCAACGGCGCAACACGACAATTTACGACGATGTATTAATTATGACGATTAATTGCGACGATCAATTATGATTACTTGCGACGATTAATTACGACGAATGAATTGCAACGAATGAATTGCGACGATTAACTACGGCGATTAATCTCTACGATTAATTACGACGAATGAATGAATGCCGAGCGGCGGTGGTGCCCGCGTCCCTTCCGCAGGAGAGGAACGCGCTGGTGCAGGCCTCGTCAGGCTCGACAGCCCTCCTCGAGTGCCTGGTGTCCGGCGAGCCGGCGCCACGCCTCGCCTGGTCGACTCCCAACGGCGAAGTCCTCCTTGCCCCCTCCTCGTCCACCTCCTCCTCCTCGTCCTCGTCCCCGCGCCTCCACGTGCTCACCGACGGCTCGCTGGAGATCCGGGCGGCGCGCCGTCGCGACGCGGGCGACTACACCTGCTCGGTGCGCAACGCCGCCGGCTCGGACGCTCGCACGGTGCGCCTGGCGGTTCGCGACCTGCCGCCGGCCATCAACGGCCTGGCGGGCGAGGCGCTGGCGGAGCCGCGGCGCGAGGCCGTGCTGGCGCACGCGCGCAAGCTCCTCGACTGCCGGGCCGAGCTACGGCCGCCCCCAGACGGCCGCGAAGACGGCGACGCGCGGCCGCCTCCTCGCGTCGCCTGGGCGGCGCCCGGCGGCGTCGTTCTGCAGGCGCCGTACCACGGCGGCCGGCTGGCGGTGCACGCCAACGGCACGCTGGAGATCCGCAACGCCCGGCCCTCCGACTCGGCCGACTTCGTGTGTGTGGCCCGCTCCGGCGACGCCGAGAGCCGCCTGACCGTCCGGCTGGAGGTCGTCGAAGCCCTCGAGGCGCCGTCGTTCCCCTCGGTTGGCGGCGGCGGCGGCGACGACGAGACGGTCGCGGTGGAGCCGGGCCGGCGCTCGGCGCTGCTCAACTGCTCCGCCGAGGGCTCGCCGCGGCCCCGGGTGGCGTGGACGCTGCCGGGGGGCGCTCGCCTCGCGCCGGGACGGAACGCCGGGCGCTTCTCGGCGGGGGAGGATGGCACTCTGCGGCTCTCCGAGCCCGGCGCGGGCGACGCGGGCCGCTACCGGTGCGCGGCCACCAACGCGGCTGGCGCCGCCGAGCGCTCCCTGCGCCTCGAATTTGGCACGCGACCCCGGATCTCGCCGTCGGCGTCCCGCCCCGGCGGGCTGGTGCGCGTCGTCGGCGGTGAGTCGACGACGCTCGACTGCGCCGCCTCCGGCGACCCTCCGCCGGTGGTCTCCTGGACGCTGCCCGGCGGCGCGGTGCTGGAGGGGGCGGCCGCCGCCGCCGTCCGGCACGCTGGCCGCTTCTCGCTGCTCCCCAACGGCTCGCTCGTGGTGAGCGGCGCCACGGTGCACGACCGCGGCAACTACGTGTGCCGGGCCCGCAGCCGCCTCGGCGAGGACTCGCAGCTGGTGCCGGTCGTCGTCATCGCCTACCCGCCAAGAATCACCGCGGGGCCACCGCGGACGTACCACGCCCGGCCCGGCACGTCCCTGCAGCTGTCGTGCCTCGCCATCGGAATCCCGCGGCCCGACATCACGTGGGAGTTGCCGGACCGCACGCGTCTTTCCGCGGTGGCGGCGCCGGCGGGCGGCGGCGGTGGCGCCGCTGGAGCGTCCGCGGCGAGACGGGCGGCAGGGGGGAAGTTCCTGGTGCTGCCGCAGGGCGCCCTGGTGATCCCGAGCGCCGGGCCGCGCGACAGCGGCGTCTACCGCTGCACGGCGCGCAACCTGCTGGGGAGCGACGTCAAGGCGACGTACCTCTACGTGCTGTGAGCCGCCCATGCCGGCGGCGGCGGCGGACGTGGTGATGGTGGTGGTGGTGGTGATGGTGGTGATGGTGGTGGCTGAGTAGGGGGGGCACAGCTGGTGCATCTGCCGGTCGTCTCGGTCGGTCAACACAACGGGCACCTTCAGGGTCTGTGCCCGTGACCGCCTCCTGTCCTGGCGGTCGGCAGCGACAGCCTTCGGACACTTCACGCGGCGGCCTCGAAGCGCATGCACCTAGCCTGGCACAGGCGCCACTGTGACGTCACCGCCAACTGAGCGACGAGTGGTGGGTATTGGTTTTGTTGGTGGTGGCGGCGGCGGTGGCGGTGGTGTTCGGTGATTCACTTTTGCCGAGTCTGTCTGGGTCGGACGATGTTTCTGCGACCGGCCCACCACGGTCCGGTATAACGTCTCGCCACGCACATGGGGTCTAGGGTTTTCGCCCTGCCTACCAGCAACTCAGAAGACGCTGTCGGGCGCGAGACTGAAACCTGGTGGTGGATTCCGAGGTGGCGACATTGCGATGAACTTCCCGCGTGCCCGTAGAGGAGTGGGGCTGCGATGACGTTGGCGATGTCGGTGATGGTGGAGCAATCGGTGTGTGATGATGATGATGATGATTTTACATTGAACACCTTAGCTACCATGGCAGATGATTGATGGGAATATATGTTGTCCACGTTGCCATGATCATAAAACAACGACGACGATTATGATGACGATGATGATCGCATTGAGAGTAGCGATGAAGACAATGATGATGATTGAACACTGCACAGAATTCTGGATGGTGATGATGATGATGACGATCACGTGATGATCAGTGTAGACATTGATTGAATCAGTGACGATGATGATGATCATGGTGGTGATTATGGAAACACTACACAGAAATTTGGATGATGATGGCGACGATGATGGCGATCACGTGATGGTCAGTGAAGACATTGATGGAATCAGTGATGATGATGACGGTGGTGGTGGTAATTATGGGAACACTACACAGAAATTTGGATGATGATGACGATGGCCATCACGTGATGGTAAGTGAAGACATTGATTGAATCAGTGACGATGATGATGAGGGTGGTGGTGATTATGGGAACACTACGCAGAAATTTGAATGATGATGACGATGGCGATCACGTGATGGTCAGTGAAGACATTGATTGAATCAGTGATGATGATGATGGTGGTGGTGGTGATTATGGGAACACGACACAGAAATTTGGATGATGTTGACGACCATGATGGCGATCACGTGATGGTCAGTGAAGACATTGATTGAATCAGTGATGATGATGACGGTGGTGGTGATTATGGGAACACTACACAGACATTTGGATGATGATGACGATGATGGCGATCACGTGATGGTCAGTGGATACATTGATGGAATCAGTGATGATGATGGTGATTATGGGAACACTACACAGAAATTTGGATGATGATGAGGGCGAGCAGGTGATGTTGGTCTGTACACGCATTGATGGGAACCAGTGGTGACGATGCTGCCCATGACAACACGATTAAACATGATCGCCATGAAGAGCACACACTGTGGACCGAAGCCGTGGCTCTGAAATGCTGACGATTCGCTTGACGAATGAACAACAACAACAACGACAACAACAACAACAACGCCACGGACATCCTCGACACGAGCAAAGAGTTGACGATTGAAAATCAATAACACGCTCATCACGAACAATTACTTAATTAGGGGCCGTCCATAAATGACGTCACGCACCTAAGGGGGGGGGGGGGGGGGTTAGACATTTGTGACGATGTGTGACGAGGGGGGGGGTGGTTGAGAAATGTGTCGTCACATCAAAATGCACAACTTTGAATAAACATAGACAACACGTTCTACTTAATTGAATATACTTTGTAATAAATGTTTTCTCCTACAACATCAGAGTGAAGCGCCGCATTAAACACGCACTACAATGACAATAGTTTAAAGCGATCTGAAGCATGTTTTATTTTCAAAAAGGATATATGGTTTTGGGAGGGGGGGGCAAAGCTTTGTGACGTCATATTTGAGTGGGGGTCTGACTTTTTGTGACGCCGTGTGACGAAGGGGGGGGGGGGATCGTCAAAAATCGTCCAAAATCACGTGACGTCATTTATGGACGGCCCCTTATGTGGTGAAAGGGGCCCACGGTCGAGTCGGAGGACGCTGCTTTGGCAAGATAGGGTCCTGCTCCGTCGGGAATGTTCCAGCAACACCAAGTTACATTGTTGCGTGGTCTGTTTACGCTGTGGGAGGGAAACGGGAGAAGCCAGAAACCCCCGTCCCCACCAGATTTTTGTAGAACAGGGCGAGAGAATACGCGTAAACAACTCCACGTGTCATTCTACACGTAAACAACTCCACGTGTCATTCTACACGTAAACAACTCCACGTGTCATTCTTCACACAAACAACTCCACGTGTCATTCTACACGCAAACAACTCCACGTGTCATTCTACACGTAAACAACTCCACGTGTCATTCTACACGCAAACAACTCCACGTGTCATTCTACACACAAACAACTCCACGTGTCATTCTTCACGTAAACAACTCCACGTGTCATTCTACACGTAAACAACTCCACGTGTCATTCTACACGTAAACAACTCCACGTGTCATTCTACACGCAAACAACTCCACGTGTCATTCTACACACAAACAACTCCACGTGTCATTCTTCACGTAAACAACTCCACGTGTCATTCTACACGCAAACAACTCCACGTGTCATTCTACACACAAACAACTCCACGTGTCATTCTTCACGTAAACAACTCCACGTGTCATTCTACACGCAAACAACTCCACGTGTCATTCTACACACAAACAACTCCACGTGTCATTCTACACGCAAACAACTCCACGTGTCATTCTACACGCAAACAACTCCACGTGTCATTCTACACACAAACAACTCCACGTGTCATTCTTCACGTAAACAACTCCACGTGTCATTCTACACGCAAACAACTCCACGTGTCATTCTACACACAAACAACTCCACGTGTCATTCTTCACGTAAACAACTCCACGTGTCATTCTACACGCAAACAACTCCACGTGTCATTCTACACACAACAACACCACGTGTCATTACACGCAAAGGCAATTCCACGTGTCATTTCTACACAGCAAACAACTCCACGTGTCATTCTACACACAAACAACTCCACGTGTCATTCTACACGCAAACAACTCCACGTGTCATTCTACACGCAAACAACTCCACGTGTCATTCTACACACAAACAACTCCACGTGTCATTCTTCACGTAAACAACTCCACGTGTCATTCTACACGCAAACAACTCCACGTGTCATTCTACACACAAACAACTCCACGTGTCATTCTACACACAAACAACTCCACGTGTTATTCTACACGCAAACAACTCCACGTGTCATTCTACACACAAACAACTCCACGTGTCATTCTTCACGTAAACAACTCCACGTGTCATTCTACACACAAACAACTCCACGTGTCATTCTACACACAAACAACACCACGTGTCATTCTACACACAAACAACTCCACGTGTCATTCTACACGCAAACAACTCCACGTGTCATTCTACACACAAACAACTCCACGTGTCATTCTTCACGTAAACAACTCCACGTGTCATTCTACACGCAAACAACTCCACGTGTCATTCTACACACAAACAACTCCACGTGTCATTCTACACACAAACAACTCCACGTGTTATTCTACACGCAAACAACTCCACGTGTCATTCTACACACAAACAACTCCACGTGTCATTCTTCACATAAACAACTCCACGTGTCATTCTACACGCAAACAACTCCACGTGTCATTCTACACACAAACAACTCCACGTGTCATTCTACACACAAACAACACCACGTGTCATTCTACACACAGGCAATTCCACGTGTCATTCTACACACAAACAACTCCACGTGTCATTCTACACACAAACAACTCCACTTGTCATTCTACACGTAAACAACTCCACGTGTCATTCTACACGTAAACAACTCCACGTGTGATTCTACACACAAACAACTCCACGTGTCATTCTACACACAAACAACTCCACGTGTGATTCTACACGCAAACAACTCCACGTGTCATTCTACACACAAACAACTCCACGTGTCATTCTACACGTAAACAACTCCACGTGTCATTCTTCACGTAAACAACTCCACGTGTCATTCTACACGCAAACAACTCCACGTGTCATTCTACACACAAACAACTCTACGTGTCATTCTACACGTAAACAACTCCACGTGTCATTCTACACACCAACAACTCCACGTGTCATTCTACACACAAACAACTCCACGTGTGATTCTACACGCAAACAACTCCACGTGTCATTCTACACGTAAACAACTCCCACGTGTCATTCTACACACAAACAAATCCACGCAGAAACTAAAAACGTGTTGCCCACATCGGGAGTCGAACCCAGGCGGCTCTTGTTGTGGTGGCGCCAACGCCTCCCCTGCCACCCGGATGTTGATGTCACGTCCACAGCATTTGTGGTCGATGAGGATGATGATGATGGCGATGGTGAGTGTGATTGTGATGATGCTGATGGTGAGTGTGCTTGTGACGATGGTGATGGTGAGTGTGATTGTGCTGATGTTGATGGTGATTGTGATGATGGTGAGTGTGATTGTAATGATGGTGATGATCGGTTTGATTGTGATTGTGCTGATGGTGAGGATTAGTATGATTGTGATGATAGTGATGATGGTGATGGTCGATATGATTTTGATAGTGATGAAGGTAATGATCACTATTGTTGCGATGATGATGATGGTAATGATTGGTATGATTATGATGGTGCTGGTGATGATGGTGATGATGATGACATCATCACATTTAGTAATTCACAAGGGGCACTTATTGACGCGCGGAGCGACGAGCCGAGTGACGTGGGGAGTGACGAGCCTAGTGACGCGCGGAGTCACGTGGGGAGTGACGCACTGAGTCACGTGGGGAATGACGCGGGGAGTGACGTGGGGAGTGACGCGCGGAGTCACGTGGGGAATGACGCAGGGAGTGACGTGGGGAGTGACGCGCGGAGTCACGTGTGGAATGACGCGGGGAGTGACGTGGGGAGTGACGCGCGGAATCACGTGGGGAATGACGCGGGGAGTGACGCGTCACGGTCTTTTGTAATGACAGCGATGAGAAGACGTTTGCCTGTCACAGCAAGTCCGGGTTTAACGCACTCGCTGGTAGCGTCCCGCGTTATAACGGCGCGTGCGTTATAACAACGCGTGCGTTAAAACGGCGCGTGCGTTATAACGGCGCATGTCCCGCATTATAACGGCGCGTGCGTTATAACGGCGCGTGCGTTATAACGGCGCGTGCGTTATAACGGTGCGTGCGTTATAACGGTGCGTGCGTTATAACGGCGCATGTCCCGCGTTATAACGGTGCGTGCGTTATAACGGTGCGTGCGTTATAACGGTGCGTGCGTTATAACGGCGCGTGCGTTATAACGGCAGCGTGCGTTATAACGGCGCGTGTCCTGCGTTATAACGGTGCGTGCGTTATAACGGCGCGTGCGTTATAACGGTGCGTGCGTTATAACGGTGTGTGCGTTATAACGGCGCGTGCATTATAACGGCGCGTGCGTTATAACGGCGCGTGCGTTATAACGGCGCACGTCCCGCGTTATAACGGTGCGTGCGTTCCGCGTCGCGCACCAAGTGTCCCCGCACGGGAGAAAGTGGCCGCGGCGACAACGCGTTAACGGTGCGAACGCCGCGCGCGCTAAGCGATCACTTGCCGTAGGTAACCTGTAATAAAACACATTTTTTGATACACACACACGCACATATATAACAACGCATATGTTTTTTGACCTTAATAACGAACGGCGATTGCTGATGATGATGATGGTATTCATTATAACAATTATTGTAATAGTACGTGCCTTTAGAAAATGTTAATCGCTGGGAATCTGACGTTCTGCGTCGTGCACGTGGCAAGGCGCTGGTTGTTCTACAGAATCTCGCTCTCTGCTACCGGTCACCCTCTGCACTGCGACATCACGGTCGAACCTTCTTCCCCCCCCCCCCCCCCCCCCCACTTCGTTCCTCCTCATCCCCTCCTCCCACTGTTGTCAATCTACGGACAACAACAACAACATCAGCTTGTCACTGCCGTAAATCTACCAACAACAACAACAACTTGTGGAAAATTCCTCTGCGCGTCACTCGTATCTCGGTGGTGGTGGCGGTGGTGGTGGTGGCGTTGGCGGTTGTGGAGGTGGTGGTGGTGGTGGCGGAGGCGGTGGTGGTGGCGGTGGTGGTGGTGGAGGCGGTGGTGGTGGCGGTGGTGGTGGAGGTGATGGCGGTGGTGGCGGTGGTAGTGGCGGTGGTGACGGTGTTGGTGGTGGTGGTGGCGGTGGTGGCGGCGGCGGAGGCTGTGGTGGTGGCGGTGGTGGTAGCGGTGATGGTGGCGGTGGCGGTGGTAGTGGCGGTGGTGACGGTGTTGGTGGTGGTGGCGGTAGTGGTGGCGGAGGCTGTGGTGGTGGCGGTGGTGGTAGCGGTGGTGGTGGAAGTGGCGGTGGTGACGGTGTTGGTGGTGGTGGCGGTGGTGGTGGCGGAGGCGGAGGCTGTGGTGGTGGTGGTGGTGGAGGCGGTGATGGTGGTGGTGGCGGTGGTGGAGGTGGTGGAGGTGGTGACGGTGGTGGCGGTGCTGCCGCTCGACAACCCCGTGTCTCTCTATCGAGGCC